CAAGCTTTGTGTGATGTGGATTGGGGTTTGGGAGGAGGTGCGCTTGGCAATGCCAGCCCCACTCCTTGTAGCCTAAGTGGATTTTGGGTGTTAGCGAATTCTCGAATGTGATTCTTAAGTCAGAACCTTATCTTTTGTATGTTAATGTGATAAAACTGTCTATTTAATTTGGTTTTTAGTTATAACCTACTTACCAATACGAACCAAAGGCATTTATATTGTACGTGTACTTATTAAGTATACAATTTATAAACCTTTATCGTTAAATATATGTAGAAAATATGAAATTTTATTGTTTGATGTTATGATGTTGCACCTCGTATTTTATTTTATTTTTTATTTTTATGAACATATGTATGTTAAGTTGCAAATAGAATATAAGGGGTTAATGGTTTCCTTTAGATGTAGAATTGGTCAGACTTCGGACCTAGTCAGGTCTGTGACTTAGTCAAATCTGACTTACTCAACAACTCTCAAACAATAATACAGTACAACCATTAAGGTGGCGTTTGATACATGGACAAGGTGCAACTGGACTAGACGGGACTGAATAGAACTGAAATGTAGAGAACTTCTATATATCGTTTGGTGTAATTAGAATTGGATAAACCATGATGGTCAAATTACCAAATCATCCTTAAGAATTAACATGTAATAGTTATAAAATTTTCATATTATATTTAAAATTTAACAATAAAAATATTAATATATATATATATATATATATAAATATATATATATATATATATATATATAAATAAATATATATATATATATATATATATATATATATATATATATATATATATAATCGAAACCAGTGTAAGAACCAAGAATAACTTGGAAGGACCTTAGATTATTGTTTTCATGCATCAGTGAAGTGAATGAGGGTCTTTTACTTTTTTTTTAATTATCTAATGGCATGAGTGAATGGTGATCTTTAATTTTGTTGGGCTATATTTTGTGTTTTATGATTTGTTTTGTATGTATTATATGGTTCTCGGTTGTGGACCGGAATCTCCTGTTGATTTCGGTTGGCTTAGTGTTTTCGGTGGGATTATTCTATTTGAGCTTTAGGTTAATCGATTTAGTGCATATACAGTCTGTGTACAGCTGTTTGGGGTTAGATGCGTTTTTGAGTGAACACGAGATTATTCACGGTTGAAGGGTGTATGAATGTACTTGACAATTATTCATTAGTATTGTGTGCATTCATTTTGAAACGTGTTCTTGTTATATCTTATTGATTGCTTCGTATCATTGTTTGATTAAGATTCCACTGTAATTCAAACAATTGCATTGATACATTGATAGATCCGAGTTAAGGGACTTACAAGTGGTGTCAGAGCCTTAAACCCGACTTAAGGTTGTTTTGGGTATCAATTTCTTTCGAAACATTATTTAGTTTGTGGTGTTTTTGGTTTGTGTTGAAAGAAATAGGATTTTTGTTATTCTTCGAGTTCATCATTTTCTTGGTGTTCTTTACTAATTTTGGAGGATATTGCGTGAGAAATTATTTTTGTAACTTACCAAATTTGGAATTCATTGAATAAGGAAACACGATCAAAAAATCGTTTTCGGTTAGGTTTTGGTGTTTTCGGCGGGTGGTGAATAACATTTTCGGCAAAAAGGTATTGGGTTCTCGGCTTGGAAGAGTTCTCAGTCAAGATATCCCGTTTTCGGTCAACTGTTTTCAGTTAAACAATTGACTTTAAGGGATTTCAGTCAAACTGTTGAACTTCAAGGTTCTTGGTCAGCAGGTTGTTGACTATTGGTGTTTTCGTTCAAATGGTATTTATCTTGGTTTTCAGTCAAAATCAATCTACACAATCAAATTATTTTTTGTTGGTAAATGATGAGTTCTTACAGCAGTACCAAGGAGGTTAATGAAACCTCATACCCTTAGTTCTGCGAAGGTAAAATAAATAAATATTGTAAACAAAATGAATTATTAGTTAGAGAGGTGTTTGACCTTAAAAATGAAATATATGAAATCAAGAAGTAAATAACCTGCTTAAAGAAAAACTAGAAGCACATACTAAAGATTTAAATAGGATTAAAGAAGAATACAACACCAAATGTGTTCACCATCGTTTTGCCAGAGTTTTGTACACGAGTGTGGTAATTTTAAAAAATATTTACCATTCTCTAGTATTTTCAAAAATATATTCCAAAACATAGTGAAATTGGTTTTAGCTATGCTTCCTACGTATTTTATATTAAAATCAAATTTATTTTTACACCGTCCTATTGTTTCGTTCTTTTCCATGGAATTCACTAGAGCACCACCTCATTTTCTTAAACGCATCTGCACTTTCATTTTTAGGTTAATATAGCTATAATAGAACACCACTAACCTCTTCAGTTTTTTAAACTAGTAGCATACTCTGACCAAATTTTTAAACATGCAATTAAAGTTCACAAAGTACCTAGCTTATAGTTTAAATACTTAACAACATGGCGCATGAATTCTTATGGGTCTTATGTTTTTTTATAATCATTTCCCTTCTATCTCATGAATTACTACATAGGTGTGTTTTAAGCATACATAACCGGTCATGGCATCAAACGATTCAATGCTCTGTTTCTTCGAACTTGTAGTTGATCGTACATAAAAAAAATATATGTTCGTAGTTTTATAGCTTGATACAATACGGTTTGACAAATTCCCAAGAAATCTAAGGGACTTAAAAAAGATCACTAGATATGAGGGGACTTGTTTGATAATATGTAGAGGGGAATTGAATCGGGAAAAGTTGGCATCATGAAAACGTGCACAATGATGTACCAGAAGTAGATATTTTATTTTCTAGGTATAAAATGCAAAACTGCTAGAAAACTCACTGATATGACGTTGATGGAATAAACTCGATGGAAAACGGTAGCATATGGCAAGAGGAGGGAAACAGTGAAGGAGGAAATTGCTTGAGGGAAACCTTTGGAAAGCCAATGTCTTGCAAAACGCAAAGGAAAAATGGAAGAATAAATGTTAATGACGAGGTGAGCTTAAACATGGAGGAAAAAGGAAGAAGAGAGGAATGAAAAGCATTGGGTGAGCAGCGTGTGAAGCAATCAAGCAAAGCATCCATGCTTCTATATTTCCATTTTTTTCCGACGAGTAAGAACGGAGACGGAGAAGAGAATCGTGAAGTAGTGTGGTTTGTGGTGGGGCCACTTTACTCTTTTTCTTTTATTTAATAACCAAAAATTCAATCAACTATATTTATATTTTCACTACTATTCTGTAAATAAATTTGAAACTACATCATTTTGGTAAATATTTGTTCCAAGTACCATGTTTTGGGTAAAAACTCTGTTTTGCCATGGAGACAATTGTAAACTTAACTGCTGAAGTTGATGCATTAAATGCTAAATTTAAGGATCTTGACTTTAATTTTAAGAAATTTAATGTGTCGAAGTGAGAAAGTTAAGTCAATGATAGAAAAAAAAAATTAAAGTGGAAAGACAAACAGGGTGAGGGTCTAGGGTATCATAGTGTTCCACCTATTTTCAATGTTAACTATACTCCCCCCCCCCCTTGAAACCAAAGAGATAGAGACTCCTGCATAATATGGTCAACCCCCTATAATTGCTTCAATCAAGACTGAACAATTCGGCCAAACTGAGAGTATTGATGTGAATGATTCCAATGCTTCTACTTCATGTGTAGATAAAGTAACAGTGAAAGATGGGTTCGAGCAGAACAAAAATAATTCTAGTTTGCTGAAAATGCTTGTGGAAGTCACAAACTTCAATTGGACAAGGAGCAAGTCACAATCTTATTTATTTGAAAATACAAACTTGTTTTAATTGTGGGACTACCGATTATATTGCTAGAAATTGCCCACATCGTTCAGATGTTCCCTACTATAAAAAAGGTTGGCAGAACGTGCCAAGGAGGAAATATTTCACAAGAAATTCTTAGAGGTCATGTTCAAGCAATGGTGATTGGAATGCTAAAAAAACCAAAGATCAGACTCTCAAGAACAAAAAGGTCATGTCTGACAAGAGATCTAATTTGAGACCAAGATCGTTAAGGTCAAAATAATCTCAACAATCGATCTCAAGCTCCAAGGCAAGTGCTAAAGTGGATTAAACAATAAAATGGTTAAACTAGCGTTGACCGAAATCATCTGGTCAACAAGTGTTTTGACCAAAATCGATCAATTTTGACCGAAATTGGTTGAAATCTTGACCTTAATCGAAAACGACTGAAACTTTGTCTTTGACCGAAATCAGATTTCAAACTCATTTTAATTAATTTTATTTAATTCTCACTTGGCTAGTTTGGTGCAGATAACTAGCAGGGTAACTAAAATTCGTGGACTTTCACAACATTGTTGAATATCTTATGGATCTACCTGTTGATCATCAATAATTCAAATCCATGATGGTGGGTTTGAACAACTGCAGGATTTCTCAAGCCCTTCATGCTAATCCAGTCATCCACTAAGACTTGATTACTGATTTCGGGAAAAATGCTTCGATCAACAAGCTGATGGTAGATGGATCTGGTATTGTTGAATCGATGGTGAAAGGAACACAAGTAATTATTTCTGAACAAGTTCTCCAAGAGGTACTTGAATTTGGTGATGCATCTGTATTCCCAATTGAGTACTCTGCTGATAAAGTCAAGGAAGTTCTAGAGAAGATGTGTTATGAAGGGACCTATCCTCCCACCATCAAAAAGCTACCGCCACCTTACTGGATGTTCCTGGGACACTCCTTTGTGATTTGCATTTCTGGAAGGAAAAATGGATATGATGAAATTGGTCATATTATGACCTCAGCTATTGTCGCTTTAGCAGTGAACTTAGATTGCAACTTTTCAAAGTTTGTTTTTTGAAGAAATGAAAAGCAACCTCCAGGGGAAGAAAAAGGACCTATTTTTTATGTATCCTAAGTTCTTTCAAATGATATTTAATGAAAAATATCCCCTAATCGAGAGGTCGTCTAATACTTTGGATATGAAAGTTTTGGGCCCGAACACCTTTGAACTCATGAAGCAATCAAGAAAGGTTGCCAAAGTTGCCTATCAAGGACTAAAGGAGTTGGTTAAATTTGGAAAGTTTGCTAAGCTTGAAGACACTCCGGTTGTTAGTTTAATTAATGTTGAGATTGCCGAGGAACACGTGTCACCTATGTCAAAATTTCAATTAACCTTTGAAGAAATTGAAGTATCTGATGATGAAGAAGAATAAGATCAAGAAAAGGAATTGATAGAGAATGAGTTTGAAGAATTTATTCAACAGAGCATCTCAATCCCAGAAGAGGATGCAACTGTCATACCTCCGACTGTGACTGAAAGAGATCGTGACATAATTGTGCAATCCTCTATACCAACCCCTGAACAGGCAGATGCTCTTGTTGCAGAACTTCAGTGAACTACGAGGAAGCATCCCCAAACAGTTCCTGTCATAACTAAACCTCGGTCTAAGAGCGATCAAGAAGATTCAGCCCACGATTTACTCCCCATGAAGCGATAAAGAAAAGATCCAAGGCCGGGAGTGCTTATCACAGACCCTGTTCAAAATATATCTACACTGATTGAGCCTGGTCCTATGGCTCAAAACATTGAAAGCACATTTACTGAGTCCTTTCCAGTGATACACGAGATTTCAATCCCGTTACCTGAGTCCACCCCTATGGATCAGGATTTTCAAAGCCATATTGTTGAAGAATATGTTTTTCCTTCAGAAGGAGCTTAAGCTTCTGGAAGCTCTTTTGAAGCCCATGAGATGGATATTTCCAAAGGCAAAAGCAAGTTGCCTAAGTCTGATTTTGTGGACGTTGCTCTACTTCGGAACATAGTTTCTGATTTGGAACAAAGCTTTGCTGAAAATGATTTGATTATTGGAATGCATGACATTCAAATTAGTAAGCTTGAAAATGAGAACTCCATTAAAGATGAAAAGATTTTAGAACTTCAAGCAAATATTGGTGGTCTAAATGCTATATTATTTGACCTGAAACAACATTTACATCAAAAGTTTGGTGATGAATTTCAACCTTTGAGCTATGAAGGAGAAAGGATCACTGCTTCTAGTTCAGGTGCCACCAATCTAACTTCACAGTCTTCAAGTGAAAGAGTTGTAAGACCTGCTCCAGATGCTAACCTTGATTTATTGTTATATTCTGGTCTTGTTATTGCTCAAGAAGGAAGAGATAAGCAAATAAGGGTTGAGCAGCTGAAAGGGAAAATGCTCGTGATATTCAGACCAAAATGCTCCAGGTGATCACCCAGAGATGTTTTTCAGGGAAACTGGAAAGAAGTTTACATATAAATATGGTGATCATTCTGGTATTACCATGTGGGGATATGATGCTGATAAAAGGATATGGGCGGTGAAGCGGAAAAGTAGAAGTTGTTATTTAGATTAAAAGAAATTATTTTTTGGATAACAAATAATAATTTATAGCATAATTTTACATGTTAAAAAAAACTTATGATATCTTAAACACATTATACTAACAACTTAAAAACATGTTTTTTGATGGTTTTTGGAAGCTAAAAAATCATGTTATTGTTTATTATATTTATATAATTAATATATGTAAATATATGTGTAATTTATTAATGAAGGGGTCCCAATGGGGATTTCGGAACGAGGTTGCCTATCCCCGACCCCACCCTCGAAATTAAAACAGAGGTTAACCTTGTCCCCACCCTCGATTTTTTTTCCCAAACAGAAAAGGGTACCACGAGACTTTTTGACATCACTAATTTTATTTTTAATGTTGTTGTTTCACTTTGTTCTATGTTTTTGGGTGGGATTAAAATATGAAGGTTTAGTCCCATTTGACTTGCTCTTTGTTTCGTTTAGTTCTAGTCTCATATCTGTCAAACATTACTTCAAATGATCTTGTATTCTGTTACGTCCAATTCCACCTATGCCCCTAAGAGACTGCCGTTTGCAAACCAAGTTTCTATTGTACTCGCATTAACAGAAAAACTTTGAGAGCCTAAAATAAATAATTCAATAATTCAAGGACCTGTGCTAGAAAAAACATAGGTTTCAAAAAGAAGAACACGCACTATCTCTCCCCACTACTGCAAGTAGCGAACAAAAATGTCGACGACGGCGAAGAGAGATCTGGAAACCAGATCGCCGGCGACAATGTCATACCGGAGCAATTCTTCACCGCAGCCTTCGCTGCCATTGGTGGTCACTCTCAACTGCATCGAAGACGCGAGCATCGAACAGGAATACCTGGCCGGCATCGCACGTGTCGAGCACGTACCTCTGAGTCTACTAGCAGAGGCGAAGATCGAGTCTGCTGCAGCTGTTCTTCTACACTCTCTCGCGTTTCTACCACGTGCCGCTCAGCGCCGGCTCCGACCATGGCAGATCGTGCTATGCCTCGGCTCGTCTGATCGCTCCGTAGATTCTGCTATCGCCGCTGACCTAGGGCTTGGTAGGCTTGTACACGTGGACGTGTCGCGAGCCGAGGAGGTCGCTGATACTGTGATGGCTTTGTTTCTAGGGCTACTTCGGCGCACACACTTGCTTTCACGCCATGCGCTTTCGGCATCTGGATGGCTCGGGTCAGTTCAGCCACTTTGCCGTGGAATGCGGCGGTGCCGAGGCCTTGTGCTAGGGATTATTGGCCGGTCTGCTTCTGCCAAGTCTTTGGCTACTCGGAGTTTGGCGTTTAAGATTAGTGTGCTCTATCATGATGTCAATGAGGTATTATTTATTTATAATCACACTAGGATTTGATTCATTAATCAGTCATTCCTTAGCTATATTTCCTTCTATAATTGGAATATACTGTGAACTTTTACTAATACAGAGCGTAATTGATTCTCCAATGTTGCAATTGTCAGGCTTGTGTTCAGCTATAAAGTTAATAGAGGTCTAGGTTGCTTAAGATCAAATAGGCACGTTGCGTCACTTCATTCTAATGAGTCAATTGGGAATCAAGATTCTGCATTGATGGAACCTTTAGCTGTTCCACTGTAGATTGGTTATGTGAATTTGTTATTAGCCACAAGCCCACAACTGAATAAGTGTCATTTCTTTCACTCCGACACAGGTCAGGGTCCAGCGACCTCTTTGTTTTAGTTACCAGAGGGAAGATTTTGGTTGTAGCAACTAGCAATCGATTATGTTATTTTAGCTCCTTAAGCTAGTGTCTTGTTTATTGCAATTAAATAGACTTATTTAGCTAAACTCCAGAGTTCTGAAAGTAAGATTGTGTAGCCAGTAGCCACCCAGTTATCAGAGTTGCCTATCCAGCTTTGATCTTTCTCATTTATTTGATAGTTGTTTAACCATAATAAGCAGGATTGAACGATAATTAAGTAGGATTTCATGAAGTTTATTATGGATGTTAGTTTTTCATTTGAAAAAGTAACAGGAGACATTGCATCAAATTATCAACATCATACTACTATGGTCTTACTCGTACCATATGAACTTCAATTCTATCATAAATATAAAAGTATTAATATTACTATTCAACTTCTAAGATAAGCACTTAAGATCCGATTAAATGGTCTTAGCTTCACTTAGCCTTGTCCTTATGTATCATCTATATGATACATGATTAATGACATGTTGGTAACTTGTGCCTGGAATTACATAATGGAATTTTCTATAGGTAGTTTACAAGAGAAGGTAGCTAAGTGCATAGATGATAGATCTTCTGTTGCAATCTAATTAGGTATGGCAGTATTGCGATAGCCTACCTGGTTTTTGGAAATTTGACACTGAATTATTGTACTGCTCAAGAATAATGTATGGATAATGTGATATGGCTCATTTCTGCATTACAAGTGTGTGATTTATTGAGATGAGTATTTTTGTATCTTAGAGAGAAGGGTGTGGGTTGAAATTCAATCAAGATTCAACTGATAATAATATGCAGGCTGCAAAGTGAAAGCTTACTTTTACAAATTTTGTAGCATAATTTACCAGTTTAGATGTTAATTATTATTATTGTGAATAGTTATTACATTCTCCAAGGATATATAGTCGTATCATAGGCAATCGAGTCCATGTCAATAGAGATATTTTGGTATCATAAATATGGTTTCTACCTCTTTCTTATTCATATTTACATTTTGTAGGAAAAAGGAAAAAGATTAAGCAGGTTTCCTCCTGCTGCCAGGAGGATGGACACTCTCAACGATTTACTTGCTGCAAGTGACCTCATCTCACTCCATTGTGCCCTAACAAACGATACAATTCAGATTCTAAATGCCGAAGCCCTGCAGCATGTCAAGCCAGGTATTGTTTTTTGTTTTTTTCTTTTAAAAATATTCTATCATTTGAAAAGGATATAAGGATGCTTCTTTTTCTGGACTAATTACAAGGGTGTTGTTTATTTTATACAGGGGCGTTTCTAGTAAATACTGGTAGTAGCCAATTATTGGATGATTGTGCAGTAAAACAGCTTTTGATTGATGGCACACTTGCAGGGTGTGCTCTTGATGGAGCCGAAGGGCCTCAGTGGATGGAAGCATGGGTAAGATGAATAACCATAGGGTATGAGAAATCACACAACATGCAATGCAAACTAAAAGTATTGACCAATTAAAATTTGCTTAGAATTAAAGGTTTGCATGCACTAAATCGCATCGTACTTTCGTTGATTTGTTTTTTTAGCATTCTACCTTCATTTCCTCCTATTACAACGTTGCACTCTGAAAAATCTACCTATAAGAAACAAATTCTGAATGTATAATGTCCTTATACGAAACAAATTGAAAGTAAAATGCTATAATTTGGTACACTTTTCAAAGTACAGTACCTTAATAAGGAAAAAAAACAGAAAGTACAAAGCTGTAATAGAAGAAGATTAAAGTAGGTTGCTATAATACCCAAATAAATGAAAGTATGTTGCTATGTTTCTTGTAATAATACAGGATACTAACTATAGTTTTTACGAAACATGAACATACAGGTACGCGAGATGCCCAATGTTTTGATACTTCCGCGTAGTGCAGATTACAGTGAAGAAGTTTGGATGGAAATTCGTGAAAAAGCCGTCTCCATATTACAAACTTTCTTCTTGGATGATGTCATCCCCACAGACGCCGTTTCAGACAACGATGAAGAGGAAGACAAAACACTCCATGAAGATGAAGACGAAGTAAGTGATAAACAAGGAAAAGACAACAACACATTTCAACTAACAGATGATCTAAATATAAACAAAAAGCAATCATCGGCATCTTCAAGTCAACTGCCAGAGTCAACGTTATCACAAACCACTTCCCCTCAATCCGAAGTCAAACGCAGTAAAAAAGCTAAAAAAAGACATGCTCGTCAAAAATCCATGCATAAAGTTGGTGAAAGTTTAGAAAAAAAAGAAGATGATACTGCCATGAGTTCCAGTTCACAGTTTGCTTCCCCTGATGATGAATCAAGAAGTAAAAGAACACCAGTAAAATCTGGTAGTAAAAAGTCACTTGAGATGTTAAAAGATGGGTGTGTTATTTCTTTGCAAGCAAGAGATCGGGCTGCATTTCATGTGTCTAGGCAGAGAGCTCAAGGTGGTGGCTGGTTTTTGGACACGATGTTGAATGTGACCAAAAGAGATCCAGCAGCACAGTTTCTTGTTGTTTTTAGAAGCAAGGTTTGTGGTTGTGGAGTGTGTTTTTTAATTGATGTCACTTGATTTTTTTCTTAATATTTATTTGTTTATTGTGCAGGATACGATTGGCTTAAGATCTTTCACTGCTGGTGGAAAATTGTTGCAGGTGTGTTTCTACTTTGAATTAAACAAGAATGTAATTCTTATGATTAAACTATTGTTATATCAAGTTTTTCAACAAAAGGAACTAAGGAATGCCTGGAATCTAATAGAAAGATTTAGGGGGTTTTGTGTTAGTAGAATGTTTTCGGAAGGAATGGAATGTGTTAAAGGAATGGGAGTCTGAAAGAGTCATAAACTGTCAGGCATTTGGTTGGCAGGAAATAGGATGGAATTCAATAATTAATGTTTTATAATTTTTCAAATTCTTTTATATAAGTAAAATTGAGTAAGTTGCAATTTTGGTCCCTGAGTATAGCAAATTTGGCCCCAAAAAATTATCCTATTGCAATTTTGGTTCTTGTTTGAGTTTTTTTGTAATGTTTTTGTCTCTTTTCCAAGTAAAATGACTGAGTATTTTTGAAACCAAAATTGCCAAAAAAAGATATTCTTGGGGACCAAAAACGTTACAAGAACCTCAAAAACGTGCAAGAGAACTTTTAAGGACCAAGATTTCAAAATAACTGTTTAGGACCAAAGTTGCAATAATCAGCTAACCTAGAGACGGAAATTTTTTATTTACTCTTGAGATAATCATAATTTGTCTCCTGTTTGGTTGGCTGGAAATGAATGAAATTCAATAATACAGATTTGAGCAATACTTAATTTTTTGTTTTATGATAGTAGTTTAGATACCCATGTATTACACAAGTTGAATATTTAAATAGGAAGGAGTAAACATTAAGGATTTCTAAAAATGAGAGGGTGTTTCAGCTTCCCTAAATTGGAGACATTTGGGGATGAGCTGGAAGTTTAGATAGTTGGGAACAAAGGAAGGTGAGAAATGTCCCTAAAGTTATTTATTATAACTGAATCTTTGTTTCTGTTCATTTTAATATATAGTGAGGGTATTTTGGCCTTTTAATAAAAAAAATAAAAAATGAAGAATGGAGTCCTAGGAATGGGAATTCCGTGAAACAAGGAACTTGAAGGTTTGCGATGAAGATGAATTCTAATGGAATCATTAATTCATATTCCACAGAATAGGGTTTTAAATTTCAGTTCCCGTTGTCATCTATGCACAAAACACGCCCTCAGCTACGAAACAAAAGGAGCAATCATATTCATAGCTTGTTGATATAATTGAACTTCCCTTGAGACTTGAGAGTTGTTTGGGTTGGAGAATGAAAGCTTGATTAATTTAAGTTGTTCCATGACAAGGTTATATATAAATTATGTGAAGAAATATAACTTTAATTTCAACCATGCACAGATAAACAGAAGAATGGAATTCGTATTTGCTAGTCATAGTTTCGACGTGTGGGAGAGCTGGACTTTTGAAGGGTCTTTGGAGGAATGTAGACTTGTGAACTGTAGAAATCCATCTGTAAGTAGTACTAAAAATGTTACATCATCTGATAACACAACAATATTTAAATTTAATAATGTATTTGTATGTATGGAAATTGCAGGCTGTTTTAGATGTACGTGTGGAGATTCTAGCAACCGTAGGAGATGAGGATGGAATTACTCGCTGGCTTGATTAAACTAACCAAAGTAAACAACCCGACTTTGATTGGTGCATTCTTTGTACCTTACCAATTACCAATTACCATTTTGAAGGTAAAATTTGTGAAACTTTATGTTTTACAATTTACATTTACATACATAAAAGTTGTCACAGGCTGTAAGTCTGTCAAGTGTCCCTACTCCCTCCCACTTGTGATCCATCCCTGTTGTGTATGATTGATTTCATTACCATTCTTCTCCCATACCCAGTTGTTTATCATTTTATTCGTGTATTCTTCTTTGCCATGAGCTTGTTTGTAATACCTTTTTTTTTTCAATTTAGTCTTAAAAGTGTTTAGTAATTACTAGTATTATGTAACTAAAATGAACTTTTACTTTTGTTAATTGGGTCTTCTTAATTGATTATTACTTAATAACATAAACCGTTAAACCCTAAACTTATGTTCCTGCGATTGACAATTCACGATCAAATCAACCAGAAAAAAAAAAAAAGCAGGGTTGTTTCAGACTTCCAAATATAAGATTGTAATAAAATCCTCTACTTTTGCTTTATGTAATGGAGTTTCACGTTTCCAAAAGTCATAAAAGGGCAGCAATAAGCAAAAGCCTCCATTCTGGTTTTAATTTTTTGATTTTTTACTTATATTTTCGTTTCGTTTGGTTGCCTAACAATGATGTATTTATGTTTGTATTGTGTTGTGTTTAGTAAGGGTGTGTTCGGTGGTACTCATGCGGCTAACAACTTGCACTTGATTGTAGTGTTTGAAGGAATAAAATGATTAATTCATAGTTGTTTGTAATATATAGTAGAAAGATAAATAAAACTAAACTGATAAATCAATTGTTTTATTTAAAAAAAAATTCAATCAAGTAAAGATATATTCTTAAATAGATTTGTATTTTTTTGAACCAGCAAATATAAATATATAATCTACATCTAAACTAACACTTAATTCCATTTATGTCCATGATGAAACTTGAATTCTTAACCCCAGGGAAGGAGGGCACCACCTATATCCACGACGAGACTTAAATAGATTTGTATACAAACATATTTCATGTCGTTTAAATAGTTAAATTTATGTATCATTTTAAACTTTTGTTTATGAAAAAAAAATACCATAAAATCTTGAAATTCAATTATAAGAAAACTTGGTTACATTTGGAATTTTTTTTATTAATAGTTGAATTAGTGTTATTAAAGATTATATACGTAAAAATAATTTATAATTATGGTATAACATTCCATTCCATCAAAGAAGGAGAAAAAACCATTCCTTATGGAATGAAAATCGAGCAAGTAGAAGTAATCACATCCCGTGATATCTACTCCATTTTGTTTTTATGGCAAACAAATACATTTTTTTTTTCATTCCATGTTAATGTTATATTACATTTTCTATTTGATTATAACGTACCAAATGCCACAGTAATTTAAATATGTTAGAGCAATTGAGCTTCAAGTTGGTTATGAAAGGTGTTGGTAAAGAAATGATCAAGTATCTTAATGATTTTCGGATCGGGGTTGAAGTGGCACGTGAAATTGAGACCGTATTACATAGCGTCAACAAGGTGTTGAGTGAGTGTCATGACGACGAATCTCTTTCATGCTTATCGTTAACTTCTCCAATGTCTTTAACATTGTGGACAGATTTGTAAATTGAGGTGTCTTTCTATATCCTTGTTGGTAGAATTCTTATATAGTCAAGCAACAAGATTGTATCTAGGAGGCATACATATCTGGTCCACCATTGGGGTTCAACAAGGAGACCCCTTAGGACCGCCTTCTCTTTGCTCTTGTGTTGCAACTGCTCTTACATACTATTAGAGACAATGCAAACTTCTTCTCCATGCATGGTACCTTGATGATGGAACAATTATTGGAGATTCGGAGGAGATGGCCAAGGCGTTGGACATCATTAAGATGATTTGTCCAAAATTGGGCATTTAGTTGAATATCAAGAAAACAGAGCTATTTTGAGCCTCGTGTGATGATAGGAAGCTTCCTAAGGGGGTTTTCCTGGTTGGCATTGGGAGTTCGCCATTGGGAGTGAAACTTTTTGGGGGAGTTGTTAGTAGAGACGTTAGTTTCATTACCATCTTAGCCATAAAGAGAGTCGATAACACTGTGAATTTGATGTGCCTTCTTCCACAATTGTCTGACCCCCAGAGTGAACCCTTTTTGCTTCGGTCTTTTATGGGGTATTGCTAAAATTTTCTTTGGGTTGATGACATGTCAACCCATTCACATAGAGGAGATGACATTGCTCTTTGACAAAGGACTGCGTGGGGAGATTGAGGACATCGTGGTTTGTGGTGACCCTTTCTTCAGTGACATACAATGATGAATTATTTCCATACCCATTAGGTTTGGTGGGTTGGGTTTGTAGTCGACAGTAAAGACTTCCTCATATAAGACCACATCTTACGGGATAACGACATATGTGGTATGTTCTTATTATGCTTGTGCCTTGACTTCTCTTTGTAACAAGCTTTCGGGCATTGACTTTAACAATTTCACTAATAAGGACATCCCCTAAATCTCAACATACACTGGCGAGTGTCATTTTTAGTAAAATTGTCGAAGATATGAAAGTGCATTTCGACATTACGGTTCGATATACAACAGTTTTCGAGTGTCTATGAGCACTGGGGATGAGATTTAGAACCGAAAAACTGGATCGGAACCGGAACCGTTAGAACCGGAATATATAAAACAGGTTCCGGTTCCGGGTTTAAAAATTGGCTTTATCCGGGTTTGGGTCCATTGGGTCCGGGTAAACCGGGTCTAAAAACCAGAACCAGTGTTCGGAACCGGAACCACTTTTAGGACCGGAACCGGTTTTTGTGAAACATTTAAAAGATGCATATATCATTCGTTTCAATTCCGATTGACATGAGTTTTTTTTCCAACATGTAGTTTAGAGTTTGTACATGACTTTAGACTATAAATTTGCCATTTTTATTTTTATATTCATTGACTTACAATCCCCCAAAGTCGAGATATCAAAGCTGAAAGTTTTTAGTTTTTCAGTTTTTTTTGTATTCGTTGAAAGTTTTAAAACATGCATATCTAATTCGTTTGAAGTCGGATTGACATGTGGTTTTTTCCAACTTGTATTTTACAGTTTGTACATGAGTTTAAACTATAATTTTATCATTTTTGGTTGAACATTCAATAATTGAAAATTTTTCAATTTTTCAGCTATTTGTTTTTGTACTTTGTATTATGTGAAAATGTTAACACATGCATATCTCATTCATTTAAAGTCAGATTGACATGCGGTTTTTTCCAGAGTCTATTTTAGAGTTTGTACATAATTTTAGACTATAATTTTGTTAATTTTAGTTTCACATTCAATGAGTTACAGTCCCCCAAATTCAGGATATCAATATGTAAATTTTCAAAGCTCAACCCACTAAGTAGTAAGTAATTACTAAAAAATTATGGGTTTTTCATGTTTTTCGGTTCTAAACTCACTTTATCCGGTTCCAACCTACCTACTTTGATGTTTCCGAGTTTTTCAGTTCTAGACCCACTTTACCGGAAACCATACCCGGAACCGAACCGAAACCGGTTCCTATATAACGGTTCGGTTTCTGATTCTACAAAATCCTGTTAACCGGTTCCGGGTTTTCCGGTTCCGGGTTTGTACACACTTTCATCCCTAATGAGCGCCACATGCTCAAGATTTTCTTTTAGTTATCTATATAGATGGGCTTGACCAACATATGTCTCTTGTGGAGTATCGTACTATTCTTAAAGATCGGCTCATGATCCTAAATAAAAAAGCTTCAATACTATTGACTTATTTATGAAACGATTAGACATGTTATCAGGGATACAATCAAGCATCGCCAAACTCGACCATACGACGCTTGAGATGATAACTATGTTCGATTTGAGCTCAATGAGCCATATGGCCAAAAGCTTCAAAATACTTCAAGACTTTAAGTTTAGTTCTTATAATATACAATTCTACTCATTATATTTCGAAATACATATTTCTACTACAACTTGAAAAAAGCTTGATTCGTTTGCAACTCTTAGTGATGCTCGATATTTGTATCTTTAAAATCTCGATTCGCTTTTTGATAGAATTATTTATGTTCTTTTGTCTTCTGCTTAGATGTAAAAATTTTAATATGATTTTTTTTATCTCAATTAGTCTTGGTTACATCATAAAATGATAAAAATAACAAACTTAAAAGTCAATTGGTTTTACTTTGGCTATCTTTATATCCTTGTCATGGGCGAAGCTTTATTAGGGTGAAAGATTGCCCGTCGACATCCCTGCTTATCAGTTTATATATATATATATATTATATTTTCTACCCAAAATCAAATGTTGAAACTCCGCTCAGATGACTTTTTGCTCCTTCCAGCTTCTACTAGTGTTTAATACAATTTAGCAACTAAAAACCTCCCTCTATCTTGGGAATGAAATGATCAAATGATATTACAAGGAAGAAATAGGTCATTTTATAATACTTAAGGGACCAAAATCATATATTTTCCACATTTTATTTAATCAAAATCACTCTCTATCCACACGGCATAGCACAAACATACTTCCAATGGCGCTTCTGCAATCCTCAGCCTCTTCGTTCATCTCTCAATTCCCGGCGGTTTCTCCAGGCAACTCCGTACGCTTATCTCCACTGTGCGGGAACCGGTACGGTGGTTTGTCGGTCAGGGCGGAAGCGGCGGCTGGGATAGTGTTGGTGGACAAATCGGAAGCGGATAAGGTTAATCGTCTCAAAACGTCGTACTTCGAGAAGATTGTTCCTTTGCTCAAGGAAGAATTTAATTACACTAACATTCTTCAGGTATATCATTATAATTTCTATTCTCCGTTCTCTGTTGCACATAATGGTTAATATCTTCAATTTTACTTATGAAATTGCTTGTATAAACTAGCGATAATGCTGATTAGAGTGATTATAGTGTTAATGATGAAAACTAGTACTGAGTTTTACCTACCTAATTGAGCTTACGAGGAATCATGTATTCGATGTTTTAGTCTATGTGTTTATCTTTCTGTTGTGCATTAGGGCCAATATATTCAATATTACCTGTGAAATCGCTTTCAGAAAATAGGGAGAATGCCACTCACTTAGAGTGATGTGTAAGTTCTTAGCCTGTAGTTTTCTTTTGAAACTTGTGTGATTGTTGAAAATTAATATTGATTTCGCTCAACTTAATGAGGTTCAAGGCGTTTTGGCTGAATTTCAGATTATTTGTTAGTTTAATGTGAGTAATGTGTTATCCAGAAGTGCTGACATCTATTTGGAGCTCTAAACATTCAAAATTTGATCTATTTATTGTTCATCAGTCATCTAACACAAATTTGAAATTAAGAAAGTGGTATATAATTGTTTTTGATTTTATATGTGAAACATGGTATTGGTAGGTCCCCAAGGTTTCCAAGATTGTAGTGAACTGTGGTATTGGAGATGCTGCACAGAACAGCAAGGGTCTTGATGCAGCAATAAATGACATGGCACTCATCACAGGACAAAGGCCTGTCAAAACAAAAGCAAAGAATCCCATTGCCACTTTTAAGATCAGAGAAAATCAAACACTTGGAATCGCTGTCACCCTTAGGGGAAATGTAAGTTTCCTTTAGTTTTC